GCGTTTAACAATAGGGCTCAAAAACGCACCATTTATGGTCACTTTCGTTGTATATGTCGAATGCTGAATAGAGAGGTCATATCAAGGGAAAAAACTGCAGACTGAATACTCATCATTATACTAAATTTGTTTTTATCGTCATGTTCATCACGGTATATATTTGTTCCGTGAGGCACACACTTTTTGGTAACTTTAGGCTCAGAGCTAACAAAGGATGAAATGACTAAATTAAGTTTCCTTAAATGTAACTTGAAGGTTAACATTAGAAGTATTTAAGACATCTTTAGGTTACATACGAAAGTTTTGAAATGAAACTTTAATTGAACTTTCCGAAGTCAATTAAAGTGTCCTTATGAACCATTTAGTTAACACTTTAAGATCACATGAAAGCAAAGCTAAATAAACATTTCATGAACACTTTACATGAAAGCAAACCTAAATAACCATTTCATTGATTTTAAGAATCCTCTTAATTCTTGTAAACTCAACTTTAGTCAACCAAAACTTCTACTTGTAAACGCATCTTAAAGGTTTCTTCAATCTTTTGTTTCTCTTTAAGTACTGGAAGTTACAGGTTTTATTGTAATTCATCTTTAGTTGTACTTTCAGATTTTCTTAAATTTTAAGTTTTGTTAACATTCATCATTAACTTTCGTTCTTCTTTTTTTATGACTCCAGACTTGATAAAGTTTACTATGCACAACCTGTGGAAGGTAGCACGGTTGATCACGAGGAAAACAAATTAAAGCACAGATCTTCAACTTTGTAGCAACACCAACTGATAAGCGTTCTATACCAGGAGAACAGATTGAAAGTAAAGCAAAACAGGCATTTGACATCATTGAAAAATATCAGATTGTTGATACAAAGAAAGTTTGAGAGAATAGTATAGAAAAAAAAGATGACCGTCCTTGCCGGATATTCTGAGTTCCAACCTCGTTCCCAGGGCCTTTTCCCTTAGTTGGGGGTGGAGTTAGGGTGGCCCACCCCCAACTAAGGGAAAAGGCCCTGGGAACGAGGTTGTCTGAGTTCCTGTATGGAGAATGTTAAACCCTTTTGTGAAGATAAAATTCACATTGATTAATGGAAACATATACTTTTCTCTGACGAGGGCGAAAAGTGTAGAAATGTAAATGAGATGTGATCATAGTTTTCCTGTTGTAGTTAATAATTATAATGAGGACAAAAATATCGATTAAATTATTGGTTCTGGAAATAATCTGAAGTGCTCGGATGGGTTAATTCAGGGCCACCATTTTTTCCTTTGGTAAACATGGTCTCCGATCAATCCTCCTTTGCCTTAAGCTTTTCAGTGAGACAATTATGTATTAGGGGTAAGCCTAGATACAACGTCCTATTTTTAATAGTTCGCATGATCGCATGTAGTATTAGAAGAGCTTGGATCCCAGTTTTCACACATACACGACAAGATAGACCACTGCCGAGAGCTTTCTCAGAAATAATTGATTGCGAAGTTGAGAAGAGACCTGGTAAGGGCACGTTTCATTTGATCAAAATTTCCGAACATTCCGGTATAAAATCGACTGAAACGAAAGTTTCCGGCCTGGAAGCTCTGGGGTTGTCCCACCCCTCCCCCTACCACGCCCTCTTTACCCTAATCCCAGACCCCGCACGATAGTCAGCCTAGAGTTGTCACGTGACACGAAGCAAAATGGCGATCAATCTGAAGAAGAACGGTGATTCTCTGCAAAAAACATGGCAACAGGTCTTCGATGATAGCTCGGACGTCAACTGGTGGGTTTTCATTCAAATTTTCATCCGAATTAAACAGTTTGGTGACATTCTTTCTGGTTTCAGGGCCGTGTTTGGCTATGATGGCAAGACAAACGATCTGAAAGTGGTGGAAACGGGAGGTTAGCTTACGGAAGTTTCGTTACTTTTGGCATGATATCACCTAACTTTAAGTACTGTTGCTCTTTTATTAAACTGAATGTAATCAGCCAGGCTATGGTCTAGGTAAAGTGCGAATAAGAAGTAAGTAAGTCTAGTTTTAACTCTAAACTTGCGACGGCGTTGCACGAACACAAATTTGATATGGCACCAGTTAGCGTACAGCTGTACGTGAGTAAGGGTGTGTGTGTCTCATCCTCTGGGTTATTGATTAAAATTCCAATATCCGGCCTTTTCTTCTTCTAATTAACGAAGTAGTATCGCTGTGAGCCTTAGGTTATCTTATGTCGTATGAAACTAGGGATCAGCTGAGCGAGGCAATAAATTTCTGCTGTAGCTTCAGCTTAAGAGAGGTGGAGCTTTAAACTAACAAATTATTTTTATGTGCATGTTTTTAACATCCAGGATCACAATAGACTCCCACTCTAAAAGAGTGAGATGTGAAATTCTATTTTCTTGTTGTCTCTTTCACTTTCTCTCTCTCTCTTGGTCTTTTCCTTTCTTCACCCACCCCACCCCCTTTGAAATTATGGACTGCGTGACATTTAAAAGGGGACTCCCTATTGAACCCAGGAAAGCATGGTCATGCAAGACACAGAGTTTCCACTGAGGTCACATGTCGTTTTGAAAAGTATCCACTGTCATTACAAAAACTGGTAATGAATATTTCCTCTCTTCATGTATAGATGTGTACATCACATTCTTGTCCTTGGCAAAGTTCTTGCCCAGATATGTGAAGTGTGAGCCTTGTGGACAGAACTTGCTCAGGCGCCTTTGCTCCATGCAGAAGGATATGTGGGCATGGGGCACCACACATATTGCAATTTTTTTGCAGTAGATAGACAAACATTGGAATAACAAAGATGCCTTGAGATCCAATGATAGGAATCATTTAAGCTGTAATACTCACCACAAAAATGTTCAAATGCCCTTATCATAATTGCTTGCTGCAAAATTAAGAAACACATGGAGAAGATCTTGCACATAACCTATAGTAGTATTGAAAGCAATTTGATTATGCTGTGGCAGACCAATGACATGACACAAACATTTTGCATTATTTTGAACAGATGGTGATCTGGATGAATTGATAGATGAACTCAATGAGGGAAAGATGCTGTACGCTGCTATTAAAGTCATGGATCCCAATACAAACCTCCCAAAAATTGTCTTCATAAACTGGGTACATTATAATTATGTTCTTGCTTAACTAGTTTATGATTTATTTAAAACAAAAAGCAGGGTCTTTTGGAGGTCAACATTTGTCACCCTGTGCTCCCAAACAGGAGCAGAGATGGTCTTTTTGTAATCTATGCAATCTCACTTGATTTAATCTTTATGATAACTACCCCTTTTGTACCGCATCACTCTTAAGTCTTAAATACAAACTGTACACGGAATAATAATTTAGCAACTGTTCTAGCCTTGAAAATCATTTCAAGTTATCTCTGACAAAAATGATGAATGAATTTTAGTATTAGGTAGTTAATTTAGTACGTTAAAAATTACTTTTAAATGGTAGACAATCACCAAAGTGGTGAATATAAACCAAGAAAAACAGAGAATGTTTGAGATTAGAGAAAGTAACTTGGATTCCAAATGATTCCAAATTCAAAATTTGAAATAAAAAGTATCATTTTTTTTATTCAGCAAGGCGAAGGAGTTCCCTCCTCAAGGAAAGGCGTCTGTGCTAATCATGTCAGAGACGTTGAAAAATTCTTTAAGGTTAGTATTAACAGACATGTTTAAATGACTCTGGTTGGATTAGATTTGGATTTCCAGGGTCCAAAATTTACTTTTTTACTTTGCATTAAATTTCTGTTCACCAGCAGTCAATCTACAAATATTGCTTTGACCACCAGTTTCAACTTCAATTTCTGACTATAGAAATGTTGTCAGTACATCATTATTATTATGCATATGGGGAGCACAATAATAGATTTTTTATTATTAGTCACCATTTATAGATTTTCGTAGGTTTTCATCCTTAGATATTATTTGGTGTCCTGTTAGGGGGCTCATGTAACCATCAATGCAAGATCCCCAGATGATGTAGAAGAAAGCATCGTACTTGACAAAGTTAAGAAAGCTTCAGGTATAGCACCACACTGTTCTCAATATTGCATTATATTATTGCATTATATTGCTGTATTAAAGGTATGTGCTCAGAATTTTGTACATATAGTATGTGTACCAGTTAGTCAGAAAACTGCAGTAAACTTTCTGGAAGATATTTTGAGGAATGCAAAAGTCGCAAATTCTCAACTCCACCCTCTCCCCCCTTTTCCATTTTATTTCTTCCCCCTTTCCCAGTTCTCCTTTCTCTACCCCCTTTCTCCCTCCACCACCCCTCTGCCCCACCCCTCTTTCCCAAATGTTTCCAGCTAAGTCTAGATTAATTTTGTTGAACTCCTCCCAATTTTCCTGGCTGGTGTCCAAAAATATTCAACATAATTATGCCATGAAAAGAAAGGTTAGCATACCTGCTCAGTTTTTTATTTGTATTGTGAGTTTATTTTGTGCCTGTTTGAGTGTGAATGGCTTCATTTTCCAGGTGCAAACTATAGTTTTCATAAGGAGAAGGCAAGACCAGCAGAACCTGTTGCTCCTGTGGTAAGTGATTTATAATGAAATTACCACTGAATTGTAATAGTTATTACAAACCACATGTATTATTATACCCACTATCAATTAAGAAGCCTTTTATTACAATTATTGTTCTTCATTCAAGAATTCAATGGTTTTTGGGAAACTGCAGATGGAGATCCTTGAAAACTTCTTTGAGCATCATGAAACTTGAAACTCAATTCTCAAAACTTGATCCTTAATTTTCAAAATTCAAAACTTGGTCCTCGATTCAAAAATCGATCCTCAAAACTTAAAAAAAAAAAAAGGCTTCCTAACTTGATTCTTGACTCTCAAAAGTTTTGAGTGTCAATTTAATTTAATTTTAGTAATTAACTGTACACCAACAGTTGAGTGGTGTACTAAAAGTCAGAATGTGCAATGTGAGGACAATACGTAGCTTTTGGCTTCTAGTTTTGGTATGGTCTTATCTTAGCATCCTATCAGCTGTATGGTGTGCATGAAAGAAGAAAACAACACCAAAGAAATTATAATTTACACATGATCGATTGCTAAAAAAAATTTTTTCAGCTTTAAAGTTTGTTGCTGAAAAAATAATGTATATTAAAAAAACAGAAAAGAAATCAAAGATTGCACATATCATTTCTGTTCATATATTTTTGCCCTTTTCCACAGTGCCTTACTGTGGTATATTTTGTGCATTCTATTGCCCTAATTTGGTAAAATGACATAATTGTGGAACAATAATTCTTGTTATTTTGCAATCAGGGATCTGTTTACCAAAGGGTGCAAGTTCAACAAGAGATAAATGTTCAGAAGAGGGATAACTTTTGGTCAAAATCAGAGGTACATCTAATTTTAATTTGATTAGCAGCACTGTGGCTCTAACAAATTGTACATGGTGGTTAGATTACATGTAAGTTTGATGACACAATATTTGATATATTTTTGCTTAAACTTGTCTTTGAAAAAAATTATGATACTTGCTTGTGGTAATGGTCTATTCAAACAGGAAGACGAGAAGAAAAGAAAGGAAGAAGAAAGAAAGCAAGCCATTGCACAGAAGACTGAGGCAGAGAGGAAAAGAAAAGAACGGGAGGTAGAGATGTCTTGTAATAACTGAGCCCTTGAACTCCCAGATCTCATTAGTAATTCGCCATACAATCTTATGATGTTACTTTGGAGAATTTGGTATTAGATCAAGTAATAATCCCCTAATTTACATTTTCCTTTCATTCTTATCACTTGTCTGCTTGAAATTGTATTGATATTGTAAGACGAAAATCTGTCTTAGTGACTCAAGGGAGTGAAAATGCTTATCATGCATCACAATGGGTTGTACAATCAACCCTTTTATGACCAGAAGTATTAAACATTTAAGTTCTTGTTGCAATTTCGATAAGTCATCCTGGTGAACAGGTTAGGACAACAGATGAGCTTATCAGCTAGAGGGTTATTTTAAAGTAAGACTAAATTCTTTGTTTTGTATACTAAGTGAGAGGGGGAAAATTGCAGGCCATGCAGTGAAATTCAACCCCATAAGTCAACCTATCATATTGCACACACTAACTGAGGGATATAATACAGTACTTCAATTTTTTTTACATTATCATACTCCTTTTTAATGGGTACCGTACAGTACAGATGTTTTACCTGCTCTCTGCCACTTTGCATTATTTGATATTTAACAAATCAACAGTGGTTTAGTGTGATCTGCACTCTCATCAACATTAATATTCATCATCACAGTGGTTGAAATGTTGTGGACTCGCCTAGCGTAGCTAGGCAGATTGACCAATCCGATTGCAACATTGCTGCCAATTATAGTAAAATAAGTAATTGACATAGGTTGACTTGTCTCTCACTTATATCAGAGTGGGCATGCTGTGATTTTTTTCATGTTTACTTATCACAGTTATTTGTCAAATTTTCAAAACAGCATACCCACCTTTAAGGCTTGATCACTATGATATATTTTTCACATAAAGTTACTTTGGACTGTTTAAGGCCAAAGAGGCAGAGGTAAGAGAGAAGCAATACAGAGAGAGATCCAGAAGTATTGAGGAACAAAAGTAAGTAAAACTATAATTATACTTAGCCAGTTGTGCAAGAGAACATTGAAACTACAGTGAGGAGAGGCCTTGCTTTCCACCACTGTACCTGGGATTCACATCACAAGCTCGTTCAGTTCTACAGTGAGATATAAGATGATGTTTTTTGTGGTTGTGATAAAAACTAAGATGATGATAAAAGTAAATATTATGTAACTATAGCCCTATCGCTCCCATGATCTGACAGCTAATTTTCTCAACCACAACCCCGCTTTCAAGCCTTTGTTGCCTTCTTGAGAATCTGGTGTTCTAACAGGACACAGTCCCCTAGTTTAATTTTCTTAATTCTTGTGAACTATCTACTTGATGTTTTGATAAAACTGTAAGAAGGCTACATATTAGATGAGTCACTTCTGGGTGTACTGTATGAGGCTGAAAAGGGTTATTGTGAGTGAAAAAAGTTAAAGTCACAGAATGTATTATGATGTCAAGGCAATATGTGAGTATAAAGTTTGTTTTTGGTTTACATTTCCCATCATTAAATTCTATGATTTGATTTTATTTAACAAGACATATTAAATGATTTAAATGAACACAGGAGAAAGCAACGGGAGGAGGATGAACGAAAAAAAGAGGAGGAAAGAAAGAGATGGGTGAGCTTGCAGACTACTGTTATTACATTTTACCAGATACCTCAGACTTGAAATAAGACTTTTGAAATAAAAACGTAAAGTATAATTCTGAATCATTTTGAAAGCTACAGTTCAGGGTGCCTAGGAAGGCCTGATGGAGCAAGGTCAAATAAAACTACCATATTTTAAAATGATTTTGTTATGAATGCAGCAAGCTATTGATTATAATTTATGAGATGTAGGATGTCATTGAAATGCTTGTTGGAAAGGATTGCTGAAGACAACATAAATTTTGTCAGGGCTTGCAGTTATTAATGAAACTGATTATCATAGGGATATATCAACAAAGTTGAAATGGTAAATTGGCCGCCGTAACAGCTTTTGTAATCGTTACAGCTTTTGTAATCATTACAGAGGCCAATATACCATTTCAACTTTGTTGATATATCCAAATTATCTCGTTACCCCCACCAACGCAGCCCCAAACAGTTTCTTTAGAAACTATCAGCCCTGATTATCATATGACCTGTTTGGCCCTGCTTGTGCAATCCCATAGCAAGTCATTAATAGTGAAAGCTGATGTGTGCAGGGCCAGACAGGTTAACGCAATACAGTGAATACATACATAGGTACATACATACATACATACATTTTATTGTGTTTTGGGATCAAAGTACAGTAACATCTCCGCGGGTAGCTAAGCTAATCTAGGCGGGTCAAGTTTACAGGAAATGGATACAACTAAATATAGCTAAAAGTAACAAGAGAACTAAAAAGCTAGAATTGACAACAGTGATTAGAGACTACTGATAAACGAATGATAATTTATTACTAATAGTAAATGACATGGTATTGCGTTTCTTGATCGCTACTCTAGGAGCAACAACAAGTAGAAGATGAGAGGGATATGCAGCAGCAGAGAGAAAGAGCAAATTCATTACGGCAAGCTAGGATGAAGGTACAATGCTAACATGTTGTAAAGAACCATTATAGGACTTTAATTAATTGATTATTAAATATACATGTAGACAATAATCATGCAATAATACAATTTTCCAGTCTTTTTCTTCAGTGCGTGCTTGTGACAGATGAGTAACATCTAAATGTAATACTTTATGTGACGACAGAGTCTAAATTTAACCATTTTTCTTTGTCTACCTGATGTACCCTCATTGATTACTGCACTCATTTAAACATTTCTTAACACCCAGCCAAGCCAAGAGCTCTCAGTAGCTCAGTGTTAGAGAATTAGAGCATGATCCTTAAATTTCTGAGTTTTAGACTTTTATGTATGGAAACCCGGATTTGTTTGTTGACTTGCACTTGTGTCAAATGAATTAGATCTCTCATCAATCTTCAATTTAAACAGGAAGCAGAACAAGTTATTCGCAAAGGTCAGGATGAAAAACCAAAGTTCCAAGAAAGGAAAGCCCCTGCACCTCCTCCAGCCAAAGCCAGACCACCCGCAAGGAGGCCGCCTCCTCAGGTACAGTCACATCAACCCGAGCCCGAACCAGAACAAGAACCTGAGCCTGAACCTGTTGCTACAGAGGTATGTTACGTGGTTTAAAGGAAGCAGAAGTATCTATTTTCCAGCAAATGCAACAGGGATTATGTCCATTAATCAAACCTGATCAGTCTGATGAAGGGGAAAAAGTTAAAATTATGCACTGTTGCTGAACTTTATGAATGCCATTGAACCTTGCCCAGAAATATAATTATTGGCAGTGAATCATTCATGTAAGCAAGAAGTTCCATTTAGGTGGGAAAACCAGTTCAAAGGCAACACAGCACACACAGAAGATCTGCTCCTCTCAAGGGATAAAAGAACATGGTGTGTTCTTGAACCCTGCTTTCTCACACTGAACGAAAAACTGGAAATTGGAGGCTTTAAAAGAAATCTACAAATTATTAAAAATATAAACAGCCATTACATCCTTTAGATGTTGAGATATGCAATTGCTGAAGCTTAAGTGGCAGTACTTTAATCAGGAATCTTTTGTTTTTCTAAGCAATGCAGAAAAAAGCAAGCTGACTGTGTGGAATAACAAATTAAAGCAAAAACACACTTGAAACATGTGCTTAGAAGGGTGCTTTTTTTGTGCATAGGGTAAAAAACATGCTAAGGTTTTGCGTGTCGTTGGCCATGTATCTCTGAGCTGTACAGTTACTTTGGGGGAAAAGAGTTTAAAATAGTTAGCCTTAACTGCTGTCTTAAAAATCTTTTTTATTTTCTCAGCCTGAGCCAGAACCTGAAGCAGAACCGGAGCCAGAGCCGGAACCGGAGCCGGAGCCGGAGCCAGAGCCGGAACCGGAGCCAGAGCCGGAACCGGAACAAGACCCCACGGACTTGTATGATAATTTTGATGAACCCTATGACGCAGTCGAACAACCACTACAGGATGATACACCAACGGAGAGTGAGAATCTCTACGACAATACGGGCATGGATACAGCACCTGCAGTTCAGGTATGGTTGTATGCAACTGGAATCATGCCAGTCTACCTGGGGATTCCTCTCTCTCCCCCCCCCTCCCCTTCCCTTCCTGGTCCACAGGTTAGTTAGTTTCACTGACAGTATAACGGTGTCTTTGATACTGCTGAGTGGATAGAGACAATGGTGGTGTTAAGCACAAAGGTTTCATTTGCAATACAAATGGGGAGTTTACAACAGCAGAACTCCCCATTTGTAAACTCCCCAAGTTTACAAATGGGGGGTTTTGAAGGCCTGGAGGGGCCTCCTGTTCCCAGGGAGTTATGAGCTGCCCTGCAGTAGCATTCTCCTGCATTTTGGATCCACTCTAATTTATGTTGCTTTGTTGTTCCTGATGGGACTTGAATCCACGACCCACGACCTTCGGTGAGTCCCATCTGGGGCTCGGATTTTTCTATTACTAACACTAAAATTGTTTCATCTTTGTTGTTCCTAGTCCTAAAAGTCATTTAATTTTAAAATTATTTTTGAAAACAGCATGTTTGTTCAGGGTCCAGTGATTTTTGAATTAACACAAAAAGCGGGTAGCCAGCTTATTACATGTAGGGCACATGTAGATCTAATTTGGATATATCAACAAAGTTGAAATGGTAAATTGGCCACCGTAACGATTCCAATGCTGACGTTTCAAGCATTAGCCCTTCGTCTGAGCGAACACATGTAGATCTACCTGCTACTTGGCTGCTATTTGTGAGAATTTTGCAAACACAATTAGTAACTCAGTCAGGGCTTAAACCTGAATCCCATCAACCCAGAGTCTTGCACAACCACACCTGGGTCATCATCCTTCTCTTATCTGCACATGATGGCTCAACAATTTATAAACTTTTTAACTAGATCCCTGTGAGTACATCTAAACTGGGCACATCTTATCACGGTATATGAACCCTAAGAGTAACCAGTATCTTATTTTTCCTTACAATATCACCCCTGAATCACACATTAAGGTCAGGAGAATAAAGGAAATGATCACCAACTTTAAGAAGCTCTTGATTGTGAAACAAATTCTCCTTGTCGACACCTTAGGAAATGTATAGAGAACAGTATGGAGAATATGCTTACTGATGTTAGGGTGTGAAGGGTCAAAAGGTGTATCAGACAAAGTGCAGTTAACACATGTCTGAAACATTGTGCCCTAACCATAAACATTTACCAGATAGGGGTAATTTTTTTCTTCTTTACCTTCATTTGCAGTCACAAGCTCCAAGTGGTGGCCAAGGAAAAACTGCAAGAGCTTTGTACGATTATCAAGCAGGTACACTTCATAGAATTGATGTATAGAAACAGTTGGTATAGTTTTAGAACATTTTATTTAATTAAATTTTTTTACCATTTGTATTATTTTGCTGGGACTGTTAAAGATATGTTTACTTAGAAAATAATTATTGTAGTTCTTAATTCCTTTGATCCAATCTTAAAATCTGCATAGTTTATAGTTAAATGTAAAATTTACTATGCATTAATTCGTCCACTGTTTTCACTTTCTTTTCAGAAAATGATGATGAGATAAACTTTGACCCTGGAGATATAATCACAGAAATAGACACTTTTGATGAGGGCTGGTGGAAGGGACGTGGCCCTGACGGCAGGTTTGGGATGTTCCCTGCTAACTATGTGGAGCTTATTGAGGACTCGAGCGAAGTATCTCAACAACTAGAACCACCTGCTGCTGAGGTACAAGTCCCATGTACTTTTTTTCACATGCACATCATTTCTTCTTTTAATTGGTAGCAATGATCCCCCACAAACAGAAACATATTCCAATTACTTGAATGCAGTGGACACAGAATAACTCAGAGATCGTATTATTTTATTTCTCTTCTTATAATTATTTAACCTTTTCCACCCTAAAATCAGTCTGCATATCCTCCATACTTTTCTCTTCACATTTCCTGTGGCATTAACAAGGAGAATTTGTCAAACATTCAAGAGCCTGCCAATCATTTCCTTCATTCTCACAACTGTGCAAACCAAAGGAAACAAAATGAAACCATATAAAAGAAAACGAAACTTTCTGGTTTGCTAGAGGTTGCACTGGTTTACAAGAGGAGAAATTAGATGGCAGTAACTCTTAAGGGTTAGAGTTAAGAACTGTTTTAATTTACAATTTACAAGTAACAGTTAAATGAAAGTGTGTGAATAATAAGACAACTTTAAGAGTTACTTCTTGTTGTGTCGATTATTTTATTGCTAGACATTACTGCAACTTTACTGTGTAATTTTTGTAAGTGATAGAGGTTTTTCTTTCACCCTTTTACCCCTCAGTGACCAGCATCTAATTTCTCCTTACAATATCACCCCTGAATCACTCATTAAGGTATTGAGAATAAAGGAAATGATCACCAATCAGAGAGGATCTTGATTGGTAAACAAATTGTCCTTCTCAGTATGATAGGAAATGCACAGAGAACAGTATGGAGAATATGCATACTGATGTTAGGGTGTAAAGGGCAAAAATCCAGCTTCTTAACATGTGTATTGACTTCAAATCAACTTGTCTAATATTTATCTATTTAATTATGTGCAACGCTTTCAGCACACTGAGACCTTATTGCTTTCGTGAGACATGTAACTGTATATCTTATTCTTGTAGGAGGACAGAGGTCTACAGGCAAGAGCTCTTTATGACTACCAAGCAAGTATGTGAAAGTACTTTAGTTAGTTATTTCTCATGGTTTGCTTCCTCCCCCTTTGCATTTTTCAGATTGGATTTTTTTTAAGAAGTATTGTGCTTGTTTTAATTGCCTTACAAAAAATTGAGCATTTAAACATGTCTTTGAAACTCTAAAAAAAAAAAAACATAATTTTCAAGAGTCTTTTAGTCAATTCCTTGTAAGTCGATTGTGCAGACTTTTCGGTAAAATTGAAGAACAGCTTCCCAAAATAATCTCTCAGCTGACTGTTGGCAAACAAAACACAGAAAACACAATGAAAACACAACAGAAACACAACGAAAACACGGGCTCGTGCAATTTCATGAGTCTTTGAAAAAATTTACTCACATTGCTAAATCTAAGTAACTAAACTCTTCCAATTTCAGAGGAACGAAATATGTCAGTCAGATACTACACATCGAGTTCACATAAATGACGATTGATATAGCCAATAATGCCTCGCACTCGAAATTTACCTCTATCGTGTGGTGTTCATCAAAATTCATTTTGAGGTAATTGTGAAAGTTCAAACTTAGCAAGATGACAGTCTATTATTTTTACTCGTTTCTGAATTTATTTTGTTTTCATTGCGTTTTCTGTGTTTCGTTCGCCGACAGTCAGCTGACAGATATTTTGGGGAGCTGTTCTTCAATTTTACCGACTTTTCAATTATCCGGACTGTTCAATCATCAAGACTTGCTTCTCTGGTCCTATTATCCACAAACATTTATAATTGTATTTTAGATTATCCACACTATTGAGCCCAGTCCCAACAAGTCGGGATAATTGAGGTTCAACAGTAATTGCTATAACGTGGTCTAATTTCTCATTGTGTCTTTTCTTTGTTATTCAAGGTGATGATACAGAGATTTCATTTGATCCTGATGATGTTATCACAAATATTGAACAAATTGATGAAGGATGGTGGAAAGGAGTTGCCCCAGATGGCTCTAATGGATTATTTCCTGCAAATTATGTGGAAATTATTTCTTGAAAGAAATAAGTCCCTCGTAATACTTTTTTACAAAATTTTGGTTTAATTAAATCATTGATAGCGAACTATCCTGAAAATCTAGACTACTGCATGATTTGAATGAATTTCTAGCCATATTTCTCTCTCCACTTCTTGATGCAACTACAAATGGGCTAGTTACATAATTATCTTTTAAATGAATTAACATGAATTAAGGATACATCCGTTTTGTATGTTTTTGTACTTGTTTTTGGTATCTTGTTTCTCACATTGTAGAATTGATATTGGTGAAGTACTGTAGGCAATAGTACAAAACAGTGTAAAAAGAAAAACATCGAACAAAAACAAAGAACTGCACTGCTATCATAACTATTTTTGTAGATTTTTTTAACTATCAGTTTCCAGAGTTTAGGTAACTTATTACTGCTTTCCATGGTAGACATTACCAGCTGGAGAAAGGTACGGGTAACAACCTCAATCTATAGCTGGTTAGAAATAAGAATCACACATATCGTTATCAGCAAGGGTGATGCTCTATAGCTGTTAGAAGGTGATGGCCATTTTCATACAATAACAATCTTCATATCACTAATCACAAATGGAGCTCCTACCATAGACCAAAGGCTACTACTTATCTAGAAATCAAGGGTAAGATGTAAGCACCACCCAGCAGGATTTGTGGATTTATACTCCTCCTAAATGAAGAAAGACAATTAAAGTTGTTGCATAAAATTGCTAGTGATTTAAGTGTCGAAGTAATCTTGCCAACATCACACGTCATATATTGGTTTTTGATTTTAGTTAAGAAAAATGCAGCTTACTTACTGGTAAGTCAAATTCAATATAAGCACTTGTGTGAAATTTTTTAGTTTTAAGTTAATCACCATAGTGTCAACTCTAACAGCGCTACATGTCAAAGTTTTTACTAGGAAAGAAGTGAGTGTTTCTATAAGTAAATAAAATGATAATGAAAATAATCACACTGAGTGAGCTAATAATAAAGTAAATTTTAAGCTTTATTTTTCAAATCATTGAAATATTTACTTTGTGTTGACAGTCAAGATGGCTCAGTTTGGAGATTTGTATTAACAAATTTTTCTTACACAAGACCTCACAGTAACAGCTTATGGGTGAGAAAGTAACATCATTTTGGTCGAAAATTTGTTATAGGCAAAAAAGCTGCCACTTTTTCCCTTAACAACAAATTGCCTTATAGAAGCTTTGTACACCAGCTAACAACAGCCAACAAACCCATCTCCGATATGTAATTCTAAGCTTATTCAGATAAAGGAACAAAAAGAGGGAGAGGATAGCCTCTTTAGTGAAAAACTCTGTATTAATCCTCTTGCTCTGTAACTTGTTAAGGTAAATTTCCCAAACTACTACTGAAAGGTGATCTGGGAATTCATTTAATACTAATGGCTTCAGTCCTCAGTTGATCTTCACAAACTGGCGAAATTCATCACAACCACAGTTTACTTTGCACAAGTCATGTCACCATTTATTTGAAACAAAAAAACTTGCAAAGCACTCTTATTAGAATTACTGTTCATTGTGCAAATTGTGCTGTGCACAAATGCACTTGTAGCGTTGCCCTCTCTTACATGTCACAGTGCACCATTTTCATGTTTTACCACCTTTAGCTTGTCGTTCTTGGTAAAGCATGTAAAAAACTCCAGCAACAACAGCTACTAGTGTTCCTCCTTGGGCAGCAACACGGGTTCTCATCATGTACTGCTGCATTTTCTGATCACCGCGAACAAATGAAAAGAGACCATATGCAAGAGCACCAAGTGTACAAACAGCACCTGTATGAAGGGGAAAGATTCACAAATTGGTGATGATTTTGCAAAACATAAAGTAACCATAAAAATCACTGCCTCACTTTACACCACCATGAATATAGAACCAAGCAGAGAACTTCCAAGTCAACACCTCTGATCTTTTGAATATCCTGAGGGAACATCACCCCTTTCACATAGAGGTGCCAACAAATGACAAAGTATACCTATATAGCTAAAGAGAGAGACAAGGGAATTGACTTCAAATCAACTTGTCTAATATTTATCTATTTAATTATGTGCAACACTTTCAGCACACTGAGACCTTATTGCTTTCATGAGACATGTAACTGTATATCTTATTCTTGTAGGAGGACAGAGGTCTACAGGCAAGAGCTCTTTATGACTACCAAGCAAGTATGTGAAAGTACTTTAGTTAGTTATTTCTCATGGTTTGCTTCCTCCCCCATTGCATTTTTCAGATTGGACTTTTTTTAAGAAGTATTGTGCCTGTTTTAATTGCCTTACAAAAAATTGAGCATTTAAACATGTCTTTGAAACTCTAAGAAAAAAAACATAATTTTCAAGAGTCTTTTAGTCAATTCCTTGTAAGTCAATTGTGCAGACTTTTCAGTAAAATTGAAGAACAGCTTTCCAAAATAATCTCTCAGCTGACTGTTGGCAAACAAAACACAGAAAACACAATGAAAACACAACAGAAACACAACGAAAACACGGGCTCGTGCAATTTCATGAGTCTTTGAAAAAATTTACTCACATTGCTAAATCTAAGTAACTAAACTCTTCCAATTTCAGCGGAACGAATTATGTCAGTCAGATACTACACATCGAGTTCACATAAATGACGATTGATATAGCCAATAATGCCTCGCACTCGAAATTTACCTCTATCGTGTGGTGTTC